GAGGTAATAATACTAACTACCATATAGGATTATTGTGAGAATAAAGTGAACTATATATGTACATATATACATAGCACTTGGCACATAGTGAATACTCTATAGATGTTAGAATGTAGCACCAACACCACCAGCACTACCATCACCACCACCATTATCCCCATAACTGTCCCTATCACCATCGCCATCATCATCACCATCACCATCCCTATCACCATCACCATCATCACCATTACCATCACCCATCATCATCATTACCATCACCATCATCATCACCATCATCACCATCACCATCCTCATTATCATCATCACCATCATTATCATCATCACCATCACCATCCCTATCATCATCACCATCATCACCATCATCACCATCATCACCATTACCATCACCCATCATCATCATTACCGTCATCACCATCATCACCATCACCATCCTCATTATCATCATCATCATCACCATCACCATCATCACCATCACCATCATCACCATCACCATCCCTATCATCATCACCATCACCACCATTACCATCACCCATCATCATCATTACCATCACCATCATCACCATCCTCATTGCCATCATCATCATCACCATCACCATCACCATCACCATCCAGATCAACATCACCATCACCATCCCTGTCACAATCACCATATCACCTATGTCATCATCATCACCGTCATCATTACCTTCACCATCATCATTATCATGATCATCACCATCATCATCACAGATAATTTCATACTTGAGTTTTATCACACCTTCAAGAAGATATCATTCATTCAGTATTTAAACAGTTTGGGGTCTAAAAAAAAAGACGAAATGTTGTTTCTATACTCAGCCTTATGAATATGGCATTACCTTGACACCAAGAAAAAGCTAGGAGAGCACAGTGTCCAAAAAAAAAAAAAAAAAAAAAAAAAAACCTGTCAGAGCTCCTTCGTAAAAACAGAAGAGAAGATAGCAAATCAAAGCTCAGCAGATGAATCACTGTGGTCGCCTTTAGTCATGAGGATAATGGCAAGCACCCTCCATAGCTCTGAGATGTGGGCTGGCACTCCTCCCGCTGCTGCAGGATCACATCTTACTCATCTTTGTGTCAGAACGGCCTAGCATGAGCCTGGCCCATCAGACTAGTCAGCAATCTAGGTGTACTTGGTATATACACACCCTCCCGCAGAGTCTTATCATCACTCATAAAATCTGAACAAATATTATTATCAGGCCAGGTGTTTGAAAGCATTGTGAATCATGTCCAGGACATGACTCATTGCCCAAAAGTTATTGATTGGGTCAGGTCCAATTGTTGGTTTGAACTCGAGTTTTTGTAGATGTTGTTTGATGTGTGTCCCTGTAGTCATCTCTCTTAATAGAGTAGGTATCTGAGATAGAGAGTTGAGGACAGCTTCTCACCATGACAGCATCAGGGGCTTTACTCAGGGCACTAACTGCTGAATTTGTTTCTCTTTCTGTGGGGCTCACAGGAGTGCACTTACAGGATGATGTCAGCTTGTGGCTGTCTTGTATCTGGTTCTTCTGTCCCATACGTCGTCGTTTCGGGATGTTACTCCTCTTCTTAGCCAAATCCTCTGTTTCTTCACTGTCTCTAGCCAACCTCATTGGCATGAGGTTCCATTTTGGTCTCACACACCATCCAACCTCCCTTTGGATGTTCCATTTGCATCTCATCTTTGATGATTCACTGTGCTTCAGTCCTTTTTATACCTCTGTAACTTCTATCCTGGCATTAAACTCAGCTTTAAAAGGCTTTGAATTATTTAATTATTTAAAGGACCTTTTGGATATGTATACAATTCTTATAAATAAACCTGTAATCTGTCAGTAGCAGAATTCGCAACTCGGTAGGTGTGTTTTTCACATGATCATGGGATGCTTTTGAGTTCATTGGTGCACTCACGCGTGTAAAAAGCCTTGCTACACATTTTGCTGCATCTGTGTTGAACAAAATAGGTTGAATCTGGTTGCATGAGATTGGCGGGGGCGGGGGGAGGACTCAGTGTCTCCTGGGTCAACAGGAACAAGGGTGGAACTTGAGGACTTCCAGGCTATCAAGGTGTGAGGCTGTCCTTAAGGCAGCAGCTGCCAGGATCTCACTGGCAGTGAAGAGGCCACCGAGATGGGGGATGTGGCCAAGTACCACATGAAACTGCCAGACACATGGGCAAGTCATTTAAAAAGATTCTTTATCCTCCATAAAGAACTGATGCTTATGAGGCAGTTTTATTGAGTCAGAGTAAGTTGATTGGCCATCGCTGTGTAGACCCTTTTCTATGGACATGTGTGTGGTATTTTAGCTCCATTTTTATTTCTCAAAAATTTAGTGAGGATTGCAGTCTGAATTTAATAAAGTCTTCATTAACCCAAAAGTATTACTGGTAGCTTTCCAGAATGATAGAAACGATCTCCACCCTGACTTGCTACTTTTTGTTTCCTGGTAGAACGTCCGTCCTGGGCATCTCCTTTGGGGCTGCGTTTCTCTTGCTGGCCTTCATCCTCTTCGTCTGCTTTGCTGGACAGCTTCTGGTAGGTATTCAAATGTGGCGCTTCTTTGAAAAGTATGCTCATTTCATGAAAGCTGATTTCTTACCTAAAACTTTCAGAAACAAGGAGCTTATTGCTTTACCACTTCAAGAACTCCAGATCCCAGTTAAGGAAACGTGCACCCTTCAGGTCTATAGGCAAGAATACAGACTGGAACAGCTCACGCACAACCAAGACACAAATACAAAGATGATTTGAAACGTTCGATGTCACATCAGAAGATTGCATTCTTGCTATTTGGTTCTGTCAATATATTTTTATCATTTCCTCTAACTTTTCAGAGTATTTATAGCAGCAAATGCAAGTATAATACGAGACTTTCAGTGTACAGGAGAATTAAAACTAACACAGGAACAGAAAACCAAACACTGCCTGTCCTCACTCATAAGTGGGAGTTGAACACATGGACACAGGGAGGGGAACATCACACACCGGGGCCTGTTGGGGGGGTAGGGGAAAAGGGGAGGGATAGTAGCATTAGGACAAATACTTAATGCATGTGGGGCCTAAAACCTAGATGATGGGTTCATAGGTGCAGCAAACCACCATGGCACACACATACCTATGTAACAAACCTGCACGTTCAGGACATGTATCCCAGAACTTAAAGTAAAATTAAAAAAAAAAAAAAAAAAAAAAGTAAACCTAATACATTGCTACAGTCACTTTCAAGCTATACAATGTTGGAGTAGTTGAAGAAAGCATATATTAAAATATCTTTTATTAGTGTTTAATTTAAGCTAATCAGGTTTAAATGCTGGTTCTGGATATACAGATTACATCTAAAATTGGAAGTCTAAAGCAAGTGTTGCTAGCTGGCCATCGGTCTATGAGAGCATCCTAAGGAAGCAAACAATGGGATAGAAGGCCCTGAAGAGAAGCCACTATTTTGTTTTGTTCAGTGGAGATGAGCTGGGACAGAGAGGCCACTCTGAGCTTCTCAACAGAGGTCATGGGCATTCTCAAGAGAAGCTTCAGAGATTTTTTTTTAAATAAAAAATTTAACATGATAATTAATAACCTATTATAAAAAATAAATAGAAATGTTCTTTAAAATATTTTTCAATGTATGTATTTTATGTGAGTTCTGCAGTTATAGACTATAGTCTAGATATTTTCACATTGTCAAAAATCATGATTTCTTCTGCCAGTTAGACTGTGACAAACCCATTTAGATGACACCGCCAAGGAAGCCTCCTGAGGTTTGTGGTCTGTCTGTTACCTCTCAGGACTATTGTGGCTTCTATGAAAGAATTTTTTCTTATTCTGCATGGGTTTACAGTTTGCATCTGTGGCTTTATTGCAATGTTATTTTGCTTTTCATAAAACACACTACTACTGCTAGCAACAATATCAGGACAGCGCGATAGTGGCCTCTTAGAATCCTCGTCCCCCCTTCAAAAGCTCTGAAAAGTGGCAGTCCTGACCCCCAAACTGTCCATTGTATTCCAGTCCGACGTGCTGAAAGCGTTTGGCCAAGGCTGGTTAAGATTCCAAACCTTGTCTCGGCCTTTGTGCAGTCGACAGTAAGCACTTTGCCCTCTGTGCCTTATACCGTTGCAAACTTGTGTGGATTTTGTTTACTGTATAATAGTTTAGATGTTTCTAATTGTATTGAAAGCCCTTCCAAAATGGGACTGTGGTTTCTGCTTTACCCAAATGCACACATAGCATCTCGGTTCTGAAGCCCCCTGAAGACATTGTGGGTTGTATAGAGGAGGGAGGACCCTTGGTTAATTTGAATCCGCTCTGAAAGGCCCTGGTGGGACTCTTTGGCAAAGTTTGAAAATGCTTATTGTAGAAAGAAGCCTGGTTTTCTATGTTCCCAGAATCATCCCTCGGGTGGAAAGGCACACAGCCTCCCCTGCTCTTTTCCTTACCCCCATAAATCTCCTGAAGTCCATTTCTCAGGTTTTCAAAATAAGAACCATCATTGGTGGTTCCATTGGAAATCCCAACCTAGTTCTATTTAAGTCAGTTCACATCATTGTGCCTAACTAGCCATATTTATCATTTTTATCCCAGGGAATCTGGTCTTGGATATGGGGGCATACGGTATATTTAGGGTATCAAGCTGACTTTTTTTCTTTCTACTGTCTAAGTTGTTATATTAAAGAAACATAGAGCTGGGGGCAGAAAAAAATATCTCAGGAACAACCGTGCTGAGTCTGTGGGAAAGCATTGCTCCCCTGTGATGCCTACCTTTCAGCCTTGCTGGAATCCCACACCCTGCTGCTCCTGCCATAGCTCTTGTTCCCTCCTGTGGCCAGCCTGAGGCCCCGGTAAGCCGTCAAGGTGACATCCATAGCTCCTCCTGCCCTCCCATCCCTGGAGCTTCCCAGGACCCTGGCCTCCACAGGCCACATGCTAGGAAGTCCCTTTTGACTCCATGGTACCACAAAAGGAAGATTTCAAGGCTGCAAATAAATTGGTGCCTACCTCCTCCTCACAAGAAGCCTGTATGGTGTCAAAGTGCCCAGGAAGCCTAAACGTGATGACACTTCGTCTTCCTAAACTTGATTCCATAAGATCTGTGAATGAGGCTCCCTCTAGTGGCCAGCTGCAATTCCTCCTCCTTGGATGTAATCCATGAAAAAATCAAGAAGGAATTCTTTTCACTTCATTAATAGGTACTTTTTTACTGTTTAAACCATTCTGTAAGGATTTTTTAAATTTGCAACATCAAATATATTGGTGTACAGACAATTTAAGAAGGCTTAAGTGTACTTAAGAGTACTCCGCACTCTGCCATCCAAATTCAGTCAAAAACTGCTCATCACAAATATTCCACGGTGGTCATGGAGAAACATTGTCGCATCCTAATTGCTCATTCCCTGGCTTCTTAATAGCTTCCCAGTTGTGTAAGGTTTTATAATGATTTGCATTTATTATGTATTAAATACTTAGTTTATTAAAGAGTATTTAATACCCGAAACTTACCTTCAATTAACATATGGTGACTTTTTGAAAACTTCGATGCCAAAGGCAGTATTTGTGCTCTAATACCAGCTTTTAGTTCTCCGTATGAAGAATTAACATAAAATGTAATACTTCATAAAGGAAGCTGAGGAGAGGTCGGCCTGGCTAATGTTTTCTTCCAAGAGTTTTGCCTCTGTCATTCTCTGTTGCATAAAAAGCATAACGCCAATAAATCAAATCGATTGCTTGTTTTACAACTGGCCTTGATAAAAAGGTCGAAAGATATCAAAATAGGAAAAAAAAATAAGGGTGATAATGAATTGCAGATTTGTTCCTGTTGATAGAAAAATCATAGAGATATTTGTTCAGTGACATGTTCTCAAACACATGGCAGGCATTTCTTTTCTGTGATCATTATTTCTGTGAGAAGCCCAGCCCTTGCCTCCATCAGCCCCTTCACTCCCACCCGAGGCATGCCCCATGCTGGCTCCCTGTTACCCCCACATTGCCCAGGTCTCAGTTCTTGTGCACGTGGGTGGGCTTAGCCACCGGGCACCTTCCAAGAAACCTGGAAACTGCACCAACTCCTGCACCAAGCCCTTCTTTTTACACCATGGGACTGACAATCTGTATCATTTAGCTTAGCCTCCAACACATAAGATCTCACTGAGACCTCTAAGTTGTTTCTGTTTCCCCTTGAATATATAGAGTTCCTTGTACTGTAGCATTTTTATGGGGTCCTTTCCTACTTTCTCCTCTCATCCGGCTCTGGTTAGCACTCCCTCATCTCATGGAGGCCAAACTTTCTCAGGCCGAGTTAGGTGTCCCCTACAGAACCTTCTCCAGATGTCCCAGCATGGGGCCAGGCTCTTATGTGTAAATGATCATGTGGACGTGAGAAGGAATGTGAGTCAGTGGCCTTCATCATGCTGCATCCAAATGCCTTGTTCACATACACTGTGATTCCTTGACTCTGACATGCCTCCAGCTGTCTCCTCAGTTGGAAATCATCGTCTAACTTTCATAACCCAACTTTGAAGAGCCCATCTTTTCCCCACCAACTCCCCTCATGCTGACTGGCTGGGATTCCCATTTTGCATTATTACTTTCATTCTTGTGGATGGAAAGATCTTCAGTGAGTTCACTGCAGCCCTGTTTTGTTCATTGTACTACTCTAGTACTTGAAGCACAAGATAAATATTTAATATCAGTCTCTGCTTGAAGGAATGTTGGGTTGCACCCAAGTGCAATTTCCTGGCACCACTGCTCAGAAAACATTCCACCCCCATTCTCACCCCAACTGGACTCCTTCTGAACTTGAAGCTCTGAATCCAGCTCACAGTCATGGTATCCTGCTCCACATTCTGGTAGGTTCCCAGCGTCTGCATCTGGGCCTGGCATCTTGATGTGCTCACTTGTTGGATCTTATTAGACACCTCTGCCTCAGGTGCCTTCCTGGACCCATATAGCAGCCCCTTCATCTCACCATTGCCAACTATTCTGAGGCAGAGAAAGATGTGCCCTAAGGGACCTTCTCCAGATGTCCTAGTAAGAGGTGACAACATGCTAGCAGCCCTCGCTCTCGGCACCTCCTCTGCCTCGGTGTCTACTCTGGCGGTGCTTGAGGAGCCCTTCAGCCCACCATGGCACTGTGGGAGCCCCTCTCTGGGCTGGCCGAGGCCTGAGCCAGCTCCCTCTGCTTGCCGGGAGGTGTGGAGGGAAAGGCGCAGGCGGGAACCTGGGTTGCACGTGGCTCTTTAACACTCACCGCGAAGGTCTGCAGCTTCACTCCTGAGGCCAGCGAGACCACAAACCCACCAGGAGGAATGAACAACTCCGGACAGGAGGAACGAACAACTCCAGAGGTGCCGCCTTAAGAGCTGTAACACTCACCGTGAAGGTCTGCAGCTTCACTCCTGAAGCCAGCGAGACCACAAACCCACCAGAAGGAAGAAACTCCAAACATGTCCGAACATCAGAAGGAACAAACTCCAGACACACCATCTTTAAGAACTGTAACACTCACCGTGAGGGTCCGTGGCTTCATTCTTGAAGTCAGTAAGACCAAGAACCCACCAATTCCTGGCACACTAGCAGGATAGTGCTTCCATGTGTAAAGGAATGTGGATGAGAGAAGGGATGGTGAGTCGGTGGCCTTCATCACACTGCATTGAAATTTCTTGCTCACATTCACCATGATTCCTTGACTCTGAAATGCTTTCTACATCAGATGCTACTTAGCATTTCAGAATTTAAAAGTCAAGAGCTGAGAGGGAACCTAGAGATAACCTCATCCAGTCTCTAATTTTGTGGATGAGGGACCCAGGACTCCAAAGGTGCCATCCACTTGAGTGAGTTTTTATTTCCAGTTATTTAAAATAAACGTTTCCCCCACAACCCCGCAACACACACACACACACACACACACACACACACACACACACGAAATGCTGAAGAAGCTGTAATCAGGCCTCTTGAGGATGGAGATGGAGGCTTTGGAGTAGAATCAGGAATGCAATGGCTAAGAGGTCTGCAAAGGCTTCTTATCCTTGGGTAAGAATCTTTGGAATAAATCCAAACTATTTATGATGGACAAGATCCCAATGAGTGGTTCTGATTCCAGCCTCATCACAGTTTGTAAGTAGTAAATGTTGTGTTAAAAATACCTACTTACTCTGCTAGGTGCTTAGCTTTGACTGGCTCATTTATGCTCACAAGAGCCCTTGCAGGTAATATCTATTTGACAGTTTCATAGAACGGGATCTCACAGATGCTACATAACTTGCCTTCCCAGTGGTATATAGCAAGTAGATGTTGGAGCTGGAATTGGAATCAAGCCTTGGAACCTTACAGTAGAGGCAGGTTGCAGAGGGTACCAGGGTTGTGAATGGGGTGAGTCACAGGCAGACGGTGCCCAGCACTAGGCAGGGATGCCCATGCTTATGGACATGGACCAGCATGACACCAAAGTTGCCTTGTGGTGACTGCTCATTACCCATTGATCAAAATCACATTGGTAAGTCATGGTAACCTCACATAGTAACTATTCCTATTCGTCTCTACTCTAGTTTCCTAAAATATGTTTTTCAGCTGTTGGTCCCATTTATTTAAAACTAGGTTCTGGGCAAAGTGTAAATTCATCTTAAAAGACATTTGATATATTTTTAAAGTTAATTTATAATTGTATTTAGATTAAAATAATCTAGTAAGAAAGTACTCAGTATTATAATAATACTTTACAAAATGTTTTATACATATAATAGTCCTTCAAAGTGTTTTCAGACATTATTTTATTTGATAATGAAAATAATCCATTTTATCTAGGCAGAAGCTAAGACTAGAATAAGAGATTCAAGTTCACATTTTCATTACAATTAGCAATTAAAAATAGTACTAGTTGTCACTGTAGCAGTAATAGTAATAAGTGCACATTCACAGTCACATTTAGCTTTCTAAACTACCTGAGGCAGACTTACATTTCTATGATAAATACAAGAGAATGACTCTAACCAAATATTCCACCACCAAACAAACAAACCCCCAAAACACGTTTAGAACGCATATGCTGGATACAGCAAGTGAAAATGCCAGAAAATATCAGAAGAATTGTTACCTTGTGCTTTCAATAGCAGAGATAATACGATGCCAGCCCACCAACGTTCTTCTAGGCAGAGATGAAAGCACAAATAGAGAGGTCGCCTTGGGAAAGGAAAAGTAGGTCACACTCCCAGCTAATAGGAAAGCTTTCTACCCCACAGCCGTGTTTTTCCCTTGAAGTCTGTTTTCTCTCCTGTTAATATCACTCCACCATATATATATATATATATATATTTTTTTTTTTTTTTTTTTTTTGGTTAGTATTTGCTTAGTGTTCCTTGTTCCATCTTTCCACTTCCAGCTTTTCCTTGTCAACGAAAAGGATATAGGTTTTAGGTGTGTCTCTGGTGAACAGCATGTAGCTCTATGTTCTTTTCTCTGTTCCAGACATCTCTCTCTCTCTCATTTGACAAGTGTGATCGGTTTATGTGCATTGCAATTATTACTAAAATCTTTTAAAATCTACTTTGTATCTTTTTTGCTTCTACTTGTTTTTCCTTCTTTTCTGCCTTCTTTTGGACTCCTGGAGTTCATTCTCTTATTCTCTCTGGTGACTTGGGAACTTATATACTTTGGTTTGTTTTTTCAGTTATTACCTTAAAACAGGTAACATGTACACGTGATTAACAAAGTGTATTATTGGTAATATCTCCACTTCCTTGTTGAACAATGCAGGGACCATGCTCTGAGTCTGGTAATTTCTCATCTCCCATACTAGCATTGTTTAAATTTTTCTAAATTTCAACGGCTCAAATTATTCAATGTTTATTCTTGTTTTTGTTAAATGATGTATTTGTTTACTATTTTTTCCAAATACCATTCCACCTTTCTGGATTCAGTTTCCATATTACTAAAATGCTTCCTTTTATAATCCTTCCCATGAGGGCTTGTAAATAATATACCCACTCAGATTTTGTGTTTTAAAAGTCTTTATCTTTTCCTCATGGTGATTATTTATCATTTTTTCTAACATTCTGAAAACAGGATTCCATAATTTCCTGGCCTCTGTGTCAATGAGATTAACTCTCCTGTCCATCTAACTGTTGCAGACACTTGGTCCCTTGTCTCGGTGGGGGTTTTTGCAGGATTTGCTCTTTGAATCATGGGCAGTAGGTTCCATGTGTTAAAGTGTAGCCTGACTTTTATTTTTGAGACTCAGCTGTGTATTCTCAACCACAGACCTCATAATCTGCTCTAGGTCTGCAACGTCATTGTCCAATATCTCCTTGTGTTTTGTCTCTTCCCTGGTCTTTCTGTTCTGTTTTTTTCAAACTTTTATTAGAGGTATGTTGAATCTCTTCATCATATCCTCTGTGTCTCAGTCTCTTTTTCCTATTTTCAACTTTTTAATCTTTCTGTGCTATTTTATGGTTTATTTCCTGAGATGTTTCTTAGCGTCTCCCATTCACGGGCAGTTCATCCAGTTCCTCAATAACAATTTAGTTTTAATTTCAATATCTACATTTTCATCTCTAGAAAGTTTATGTGGCTCATTTAAAAAAATACTTGTTATTTTTCCTTAACAACTCACTCATTCATATGGATTATAATCCCTCTTTTGTTACTTTAATCTTATTTTAGAAACTATTTCAAATTATTGTCGTATCTGCAGATCTCGTGGTGCTAATTCTACCTCTTATGTTTTTTGACTCTTCCTCATATGGTCCATTGCCTTAGGTACTTTATAATTTGGTTTTTATTGTCAGGCTATGTTCAGGAGGAACTGCCCCAGCCCCCAGATGGGACATCCCTGCACTCTGTAGTCTAAAGTATCATTTACAAGCAGTGTCATTCTTGCTTCTGCCATAGCCCCAAGGATTTTCTCTGGTTTTGACCTAATTAACAACCCTTCAATTTGGAATTCTCATTATGAATCAGGTAATATAATTTCACACCCAACACTTTAGGGTTTGGATTGATCCTTGGAAGCTTATTGATACTTCCCTGAGGTAGTGAATGGAGCTCTTCTAGACTTCTTTGTACAGAAGGAATAGCGGTTTGAGGCTCTGGATTTTATTCAAGAGTCTTAGTTGCAGCCGCCCACGTTTTACTGGCCCAAGGAAATATCTTCTTTTCCCTATGGGTGTTAAAAGGCCATCCGCTAAGTGCCATAGCCTGAGCCCTGATCCAGGACACTCCTGGATCCACCCCACAGCCTCAGTCCTTTTATCACTGAGCTCTCTCTTTGTTTCTGTGCCCTGGTAATTTCCCTTTGAGTCCATCATTAAAAATAGTAAATAGAATCACCACGTATTTGATGAGTTCCTACCATTTAACAAACATTATACTGGCTTCTGAGAAAACAGAGACAAGTGCGATATGGTCGCTGTCCTCAACCAGCTCTGCATTTGGCCGGAGATAAGCATGTCAGCAAAAATGATGCAGTGTGGTACCCAGTGGAGCAACAGTGCAGGGAGGTGGCTCGCCCAGGGCGTAGGGAAGAAAAGGGTTGATTTTGTAAAATATGATTGATTGGCATAAAGAAGTCTTCCTGTGGGAAATTAAAGGACAATTAAATAATCAAAGTACACATCACAGTCTTTGTGACATTAAATGTTACAAGTAATTATTGCTCCGGCTTGTTCCTGCCATTCAGAAGGACGGTCCTCAGCTAATTAAAATGCCAAAGTAGATGTTCCTTTAGGCAAATACACAAAAGTACATGTTTATATGAAACACGAAACCACCATATTTTCCAAGCAAGATTTTAAGATGGATTTTGTTTTTCTAATAATAAAAGTTTGCTTCTCAGCTACTCAGATATCTTTATAACTTTTCTGGATTTTTTTTTTCATTTTATTAACTTTATTTAATATGAGCTTCTACTTCAAGTGTCTCATCTGATTTTTAAAATGGATACTAATGAAACAGTAAATGAAGTCTACTTGTATAATGATTAAGTTAAATTATGAAGAATTAATTTTAGAGTGAAAAAATTAGATTTAACTTAATTTGAGAGACTACCAGTTGTTTCCATTGCAAGTGGATCAAAACAAGGGAAGAAAAAAAAAAGGAAGAGAGGGAAGGAAGAGAAGCTGGCTGATATTTTTGGTGGAGCATGTATGAACATTTTGTTTTTCTGAGGAGGATCTGCATGTACTGGATTAGGAACGTTGGGATTCATCCCACGTTTTTCCTACCACACCCCACTGCTCATTATCCCCACCATCAATTCTATGATAGGATTTTCCTTTTTTTTTTTTTTTCCTGAGACAGAGTCTTGCTCTGTCACTCAAGCTAGAGTATAGCAGTGCAATCTCAGCTCACTGCAACCTCTGCCTCCTGGGTTCAAGCAGTTCTCCTGCCTCAGCCTCCTTAGTAGCGGGGATTACAGGCACCCGCCACCACACCCAGCTAATTTTTGTCTTTTTAGTAGAGACGGAGTTTCACCATGTTGGCCAGGATAGTCTCGAACTCCTGACCTCGTGATCCGCCCATCTCAGCCTCCCAAAGTGCTGGGATTACAGGCATGAGCCACCGTGCCTGGCCAGATTTTTCTATAAATTTATATTGCTTCTTTTATTACATCTCCCACTACATTTAGTACCAATCCCTTGTTTGTTAGTGGATGAATGTGATATTCACATCCAAGAGCATTTCTAGAAGGTACACGGTGAGCTCACTGTAAGTAAGAGCCAATCATGGGGTTCAGTGAGATGATCAAGTAAGGGAAGAAACAGATGTGACTGAAATTACGCCAGGAATTAAACCAAAGATCAAAGCAAATGACTGCACCGACTGGGCTCACAGCAGGCATTTTCTCATTTTCAGTTGAATAGTATCTTCCAAATAAAGGCCAAAATATTCTTTGAGATGTTGTCGTTTATAACATTTAATTAGGATGGTCTGAATTTTGATAAATGTTTTTCCACCAGGGCCTTTAATACTTAATCAAAAACAGGATAAACTGAAGCCAATGATCATATCAAGAGCCAAGCTGTAATTTTTCTACAGAGCTACACACTGAATCAAGGATCTCCGTTTTTCTTCATCAGATTCCTTCCATTTGAGGATCTTAGTCTTGTTTCTCCTCTTAGCCCCATCATTGGTTTCTTCTGCTCCCCCCACCAGCTTGATCCTCCACTTCCTCTTTCGTCATTGTCATTGCAACTGCCACCTCTCTGTTCTCTTCTACTTCCTTGTCCTTGCTGGCAGCAATCCTTGCCAATTTTTACACTTCAGAACAAGTTTACTTACCTTGTCGCTGCTTGGTAACAAGGAAAGATAGCCACCTGTCTCCCTGACCTCTGGAACAACACATTTGGCATAAGTTTTAAAACAATTGTGAGGGAGAACTTTGAGACGTGCATGGAAACTGCATAGGTGAAGCAACTGAACCAAGTGCATCCTGAACCTGTAGTGCCAAACCCACGTCCTCCGAACCCCCATGCGTCTAGTAAGTAGCTGCAAGTGTTGCTGATTTGTCATTTTGCCTGGCATGTCACATGAACGGAAAAAAAATTCCTGCATATCTGCCCAGGTCTGTTTTAGTAAATTACTAGCCTGTGAGCAGAATACAACATATTCCTATTAGATAGCGTATCTGACAAGATTATCACCATGTATTTTTCTAAATCTTCAAACGCAGTAACTTGTTTTAATTTTGTAATTTCAAAAATTTGTCTGTGTAATAACTAGATAATATTTTACCTAATTGACAGCGATATGCAATCTTAGCTAGATGTACATTTTCTCCTGAAGTAATAAACTTTTTAAATGTTCTGCCATTAACATTTTCATTATCATCTCTATTGATAATTTCTGTTTACAGAATTTATCATATTTTTATTCAGAATTTAATTCATATCAGAATTATGAAAATTATCATAATTTCACAAACATAAGAGCATTGATTTTAACAATTTTCTCTTAAAGATACTAATTGTAGTCGATCTGGATGTGAATATAAATATATTGTCCTAATTTGCGAGAATCAAACCAAATGCCATCATCCAATGGAGTCTGAGTTAGATGAGCGTGATATTTCATTTGAAGCTCGGCTCTTCATATTTTATTATAGGTTGGTGCAAAAGTAATTGCGGTTTAAATGTAATGGCCAAAAAAAAAAGCTCAACCACTCAGGAGGCTGAGACAGGAGAATCGCTTGAACCCAGGAGGCAGCGGTTGCAGTGAGCAGAGATCACGCCATTGCACT